CATCCATGCAGCCACTCGCGATCGTGAACTCCTCCTCCCGTGTAAAACACCGGCACGAAGGCCCTCACGGCAAACGAGAACCGCGCTGAACGTGAACCTCCTCCCATGGAACCTGGCATGTCGCGAGCAAGAACACTGAGGAGGCAGCCCCTTGATCCCCTCCTTGTCGCCGTCGAGACGGCCGTGGAGGATGTTAGCGTATGGGGAGGAAGAGGCACGACGAGGGCGCCGACGGAGGACGTAGGCGGAGAGGAGGAGGGAGTCGCGGGGGCCGGAGAAGACGGGGGGCTCGGGAGGGGAGGGAGCGGGAGGGAAGCGCGACGGAGAGACGGAAGTAGAGGTAGAGGAGGGAGAACGAGAGGGCGAAGGCGGCGTCCTCGAGGGCGAGCGGAGGCCGTGAAGGATAGGATGGACGGCGACGGCGAGGCGTTGCAGCTGGCGGAAGGAGATGGAAGGGCGGCGGGGGGTGTGGAGGGAGGGCGGAGGCGGCTGTTCGCGCGTCGTCCTCTCGGCAGGGAGATGTCGTCGCGCGGGGCCCACGCCTCCTGACGATTTTCTTCTGGTTTTCTTTGATTTTTTGTTTTTTGTTTTTTGGTTGGCTGGCGATGAAGAGAGCGGTTGGAGGTCGGATAAGAGGAGGGTGTCATCTGGATTTGTTTTGGCAGGAGGGGAGGCCAACGGTTTCGTGGGGGAGGGACACGTGTCTGTTTGCTGCGTGGCTTTGATAACCGTTACGGCACGCGGTGGCACGGGGCACCGGAGCAGGGGGCGGGGAGCGCTGCTCCGGAAAGGAGAGCCTCGTGTTTACGTGTGGTGGTCACGGGTGAAGAGAGGGGCCAGCTTCAGCCTTCAGGCGACAATGGAGGGAGCGGTTTTGTGAGGGTGTTTTACAAAGAGAGATCTGACACATTTTGCCCTGTAGGATTTTTAAAGTTCTCTAGGAATTTCGTATCAATTTTGAAGTACCCCGTATGAATGCAACATGTCTGGATTAGATACTTGTACTTTTTTTTTTGATCAAAGTTAGATACTTGTACTTGTTCACTAATTTAATCTACTATACTTATTATATATAGGGAAAATCCTCTTTTAACCCAAAGTTTTACCCCAACTTATTTAAAAACTCATTCACTTTTCAAAACATCAATAGACCCACTATATCACATCCCACTTATTTTTAAACCCAAATGTACAATACACCTATTATTTGTACTGTATTTATCCAAAAAATTTGAAAAATCCTAAACTACCCTTCATCCCCAACTGATCTCTCCCTCTCCCCTCCTCCTCCATCTGAGCTCAGAAGAGATCTCTCCCTCTCCCCTCCTCCTCCTCTTCCCTCCCTTCACTTCCCCTCCTCCCTCAAGCCCATCAACCTCTGCATCCACTGCCCCTATCTCCCCTCGCCGCCACGTCACCCACCACCGTCGACCTTGAAGTAGATGAATAGCCCACCAATGATTTCGACATTGACTCCCTGTAGTTCGCCCATCAACCTGAAGCACTTGTCATTGCCGCCAGTGGACGGAGCTTGAGGAGCACTCGGAGTAATGGCGGAGGTCGAAGACCGCCTGGCTTTGTAAGGAGCTGCTTTCGCATAAGCCGACGACGATGGTGAGGATCCTTGGCGCTCAAAGGAAGTGGGTTCGGCAGAAGGAGGTGGGTTATGTTGTTCTCCATTGCAAGTCAGGTTAGTTCAACTCTTTGCCCACCACCTGTTTGTTGAATTTATATTGGCATTCGATCAGATCTTCGCATTGCTGTCACATTGCAACCCAAACGGCAAATCAACTACAGCCTGCACTATGATGTACCAAGTAGTATCCAATGTATCGTGTTGTATGAAATTTTCTATATTATGTATATATAGATGATTTGTGTGCATATTGTATCAAATGCACTATCCAATGTATCATGTTGTATCAAATTTATCAGTGTAACTAGTAGAAATGTATCTAGTAGAAATGTATACAACGTTTCGATAGTGGCGATTTTGGATTATTTCAATTCAATCTTCATGGATTATTTTCATTCAATGTTATGCGCTTGAGTTTAGTGGTTGATAGATATGAATATCTGTAATGAACTGATGCACTGATTGAACTGAAGAAATTTTGATGGTAGGTTGTGTTAACTACAGCCTATTGGGCAATATTATGTGTCGCGTGACCAATTATCCACCTCGACGAGGGGTACTCGCCCAATTTTTTAGCTTTTGATAAAGTATAGCACTTTATGGAAAAGTATAGCAGCTTATTGATAAAGTATAGCACCTTATTATAAAGTATAGCACCTTATGGCAATAGTATAGCACCTTATCGATAAAATATAGCACCTTATGGTCGCTGGAAATTCAGCAACTTATTGTGATAAGTCAAATCAGTTTTTTTAGGGCAATGCAAACACTCGACGACCTACGTGACGTGTTTATTGACCAATCATCCACCGTGACGGGGGGTCCTCGCGCAATTTTGGCAAAGTATAGCACCTTATGGGAAAGTATAGCACCTTTTGGCCAAATTATAGCACTCTATGGCAAAGTATAGCACTTTATTGGAAAAGTATAGCACCTTATTGGCAAAGTATAGCACCTTATGCTTTCTGGAAATTCTGCACCTTAAGTGTCTAAAATCAAATCAGTTTTTTTCACCACGACGAAACCTCTCGACGACCTACGTGACATGTTTATTGACCAATCATCCACCGTGACGGGGGTCCTCGCGCAATTTTGAAGCTTCTGGGCAAAGTATAGCACCTTATGGGAAAGTATAGCACCTTTTGGCCAAAGTATAGCACTATATTGTAAAGTATAGCACTTTATTGGCAAAGTATAGCACCTTATTGGTAAAGTATAGCACCTTATGCTTTCTGGAAATTCTGCACCTTAAGTGTCTAAAATCAAATTAGTTTTTTTCGCCGTGACGAAACCTCTCGACGACCTACGTGACGTGTTTATTGACCAATCATCCACCGCGACGGGGGGTCCTTGCACAATTTTGAAGCTTCTGGGCAAAATATAGCACCTTATGGGAAAGTATAGCACCTTTTGGCTAAAGTATAGCACTATATTACAAAGTATAACACTTTATTGGGAAAGTATAGCACCTTATTGGAAAAGTATAGCACCTTATGCTTTCTGCAAATTTTGCACCTTAAGTGTCTTAAATCAAATCAGTTTTTTTCGCCGCGATGAAACCACTCGACGACCTAGGTGATGTGTTTATTGACCAATCATCCACCGCGACGGGGGGTCCTCGCGCAATTTTGAAGCTTCTGGGCAAAGTATAACACCTTATGGGAAAGTATAACACCTTTTGGCCAAAGTATAGCACTATATTGTAAAGTATAGCATTTTATTGGCAAAATATAGCACCTTATTGGCAAAGTATAGCACCTTATGCTTTCTGAAAATTCTACACCTTAAGTGTCTAAAATCAAATCAGTTTTTTTCACCGCGACGAAACCACTCGACGACCTACGTCACGTGTTATTGACCAATCATCCACCGCGACGGGGGGTCCTTGCACAATTTTGAAGCTTCTGGGCAAAGTATAGCACCTTATGGGAAAGTATAGCCCAATAAGGTGCTATATTTTGCCAATAAAGTGCTATACTTTGCCATATAGTGCTATACTTTGGCCAAAAGGTGCTATAATTTCTCATAATGTGCTATACTTTACCCAAAAGCTTCAAAATTGCGCGAGGACCCCCCGTCGCGGTGGATGATTGGTCAATAAACACATCACCTAGGTCGTCGAGTGGTTTCATCGCGGCGAAAAAAACTGATTTGATTTACGACACTTAAGGTGCAGAATTTGCAGAAAGCATAAGGTGCTATACTTTTCCAATAAGGTGCTATACTTTCCCAATAAAGTGCTATACTTTGCAATATAGTGCTATACTTTGGCCAAAAGGTGCTATACTTTCCCATAAGGTGCTTTACTTTGCCCAGAAGCTTCAAAATTACGCGAGGACCCCCGTCGCGGTGGATGATAGGTCAATAAACACGTGACGTAGGTCGTCGAGTGGTTTCGTCACGGCGAAAAAAACTGATTTGATTTTAGACACTTAAGGTGCAGAATTTCCAGAAAGCATAAGGTGCTATACTTTACCAATAAGGTGCTATACTTTGCCAATAAAGTGCTATATTTTACAATATAGTGCTATACTTTGGCCAAAAGGTGCTATACTTTCCCATAAGGTGCTATACTTTGCCCAGAAGCTTCAAAATTGTGCAAGGACCCCCCGTCGCGGTGGATGATTGGTCAATAAACACGTCACGTAGGTCGTCGAGAGGTTTCGTCACGGCGAAAAAAACTGATTTGATTTTAGACACTTAAGGTGCAGAATTTGCAGAAAGCATAAGGTGCTATACTTTGCCAATAGGGTGCTATACTTTGCCAATAAAGTGCTATATTTTACAATATAGTGCTATACTTTGGCCAAAAGGTGCTATACTTTCCCATAAGGTGCTATACTTTGCCCAGAAGCTTCAAAATTGCGCGAGGACCCCCCGTCACGGTGGATGATTGGTCAATAAACACGTCACGTGGGTCATCGAGTGTTTGCATTGCCCTAAAAAAACTGATTTGACTTATCACAATAAGTTGCTGATTTTCCAGCGACCATAAGGTGCTATATTTTATCGATAAGGTGCTATACTATTGCCATAAGGTGCTATACTTTATAATAAGGTGCTATACTTTATCAATAAGCTGCTATACTTTCCCATAAAGTGCTATACTTTTTCAAAATCTAAAATTAAGCAAGTACCCCTCGTCGAGGTGGATAATTGGTCACGCGACACATAATATTGCCCAATAGGCTGTAGTTAACACAACCTACCATCAAAATTTCTTCAGTTCAATCAGTGCATCAGTTCATTACAGATATTCATATCTATCAACCACTAAACTCAAGCGCATAACATTGAATGAAAATAATCCATGAAGATTGAATGGAAATAATCCAAAATCACCACTATCGAAACGTTGTATACATTTCTACTAGATACATTTCTACTAGTTACACTGATAAATTTGATACAACATGATACATTGGATAGTGCATTTGATACAATATGCACACAAATCATCTATATATACATAATATAGAAAATTCCATACAACACGATACATTAGATACTACTTGGTACATCATATTGCAGGCTGTAGTTGATTTGCCGTTTGGGTTGCAATGTGACATCAATGCGAAGATCTGATCGAATGCCAATAGTGGGGGATTCTCTCATGTATTTGATTGGAAAGTTAGTGTGCATTGACGAATGGTTTCTGATTGAGGGGTAGCTGTGCGTTACGTTAGGTGTGCCATTGATGATGGAATATATGTATCCCACCATAAAAATGTTACAATCTACGCTCCTGCACAAATAAATGTCACAATCAATGATTGCATGATAAGAAAATTTTATTAACTGTCAATTCTAACTTATCGTGCATTTCCAAAGCAAAATACATGAAAGTAATATCGAGAAATGCTAGCATAAGAGGCTTCATACCACTTTCAAAGGAATCATCTATAAGCTTTTATGCAATATCAATTCTAACTTATCGTGCATTTCCAAATCAAAATACATGAAAGTAATATCGATTTTGATGTCGTAATGCTTCGAATTATCAAAACCCACAAGAACAATAAGAATCTGAAGGACCACCAAGCAATAAGAAAATTAGAATTTTTATGTTACAACTCGTCACCATTCCCAACACCAACAAGTAAAGAGGGCTGACCATTGACAATGCTCTATGGAAGTTTGAGACCACCACATACGACTGCACTATTATTGATGCTCCTGGGCATCGTGATTTCATCAAGAACATGATTACCGGTACCTCTCAAGCTGACTGTGCAGTATTGGTTATTGACTCCACCGCTGGCGGTTTTGAGGTTGGGCAGACACGTGAGCACGCTCTTCTTTTGAGGTTGCCAGGCAGTTGGAATTAGAATTTGAGTAACCAACAATCATCAAAATCAAATATTGATAAGAGAGAACACTAAGCGTAAATTCAACAAACAGGTGGTGGGCAAAGAGTTGAACTAACCTGACTTGCAATGGAGAACAACATAACCCACCTCCTTCTGCCGAACCCACTTCCTTTGAGCGCCAAGGATCCTCACCATCGTCGTCGGCTTATGCGAAAGCAGCTCCTTACAAAGCCAATCGGTCTTCAACCTCCGCCATTACTCCGAGTGCTCCTCAAGCTCCGTCCACTGGCGGCAATGACAAGTGCTTCAGGTTGATGGGCGAACTACAGGGAGTCAATGTCGAAATCATTGGTGGGCTATTCATCTACTTCAAGGTCGACGGTGGTGGGTGACGTGGCGGCGAGGGGGGATAGGGGCAGTGGATGCAGAGGTTGAGGTTGATGGGCTTGAGGGAGGAGGGGAAGTGAAGGGAGGGAAGAGGAGGAGGTTGGTGGTAGTGGTTGAGGGGAAGTGAAGGGAGGGAAGAGGAGGAGGAGGGGAGAGGGAGAGATCTCTTCTGAGCTCAGATGGAGGAGGAGGGGAGAGGGAGAGATCAGTTGGGGATGAAGGGTAGTTTAGGATTTTTCAAATTTTTTGGATAAATACAGTACAAATAATGGGTGTATTGTACATTTGGGTTTAAAAATAAGTGGGATGTGATATAGTGGGTCTATTGATGTTTTGAAAAGTGAATGGGTTTTTAAATAAGTTAGGGTAAAACTTTGGGTTAAAAGAGGATTTTCCCTTATATATATTGTACATTATAATCCAAAGTGACAATCCAAAGTGACAATGATTGTGAGTTAAATAAATACGCAAAATGGGGGACACGCAAGATTTACGTGGTTCGACACAAACTTGCCTACGTCCACGGGCTGCTGCAGATCTTTCACTAAATGGAAGAAATTTCACAAGTGTTTTTCACACTCAAACTCACAACCCAATTTCACTCTGAAAATTGCTCATAATTTTCTCTCACAAAGACTTTTCTCTAAGCCTTTCTTTTTTCCATTTTTACTGGTGGGGCCCGTGGTGGGGCCCACACTCTTTTTTCCATTTTTAATCCTTGCGGCTTCCTTTCGGTGGCAGACATTTGACAAAAGAGAGTGTGTGGTGGCTTTTTCTTTATTTGTCAAAATAAGCAGCACCCCCCCCCCCCTTCTTTTCTTTGGCTGTTTGCTTCTGTCAATCAGCCCCCCCTTCTTTGACTAACAATCTCACACTTAAAGACTGATTTTAATCTGTCTTTACATCTCGATCTATGCAGCAGCTCTTCCCCATCTTGATACTATTGCAGGCCAACTGAAGCTTAACACAGCTTCAGTTTGTCAGTAGTCACCGTCTCTGTCAGCATGTCTGTCGGATTTTGAGCTCCACTGATCTTTTCAAGTTTCAAAATTTCATCTTCCATAAGTGACCGAATAAAATGATATCGCATCTGTATGTGCTTTGTTCTGGAATGAAAAGACGAATTCTTCGCTAGACGAATAGCACTTTGACTGTCGCAATATAAGACATTGTCTTCTTGTTTCTTGACATTGTCTTCTTGTTTCTTGCCTAACTCATCCAAGAAACTTTGAAGCCAAACCATTTCCTTGCTGGCTTCTGTAACAACGACATATTCTGCTTCACTTGTGGAGAGAGCAACTATCTTTTGCAGTTGAGAAACCCAACTCACTCCAGTACCTCATAGAGTATAGACATACCATTTAGTGCTATTTCTAATATCAACATTTCCTGCTAAATCAGCATCCACATAACCTGTTAATATTGTATCTTCACCTTTGAAACAAAGTGCTTTACCTGTGGTACCCCGTAGATATCTGAGTATCCATTTGACTGCTTCCCAGTGTACCTTGCCCGGATCATTTATGTACCTGCTAATAGCTCCCACTGCTTGAGCAATATCTGGTCTTGTACAAACCATGACATACATCAGACTTCCAATAGCTGAGGCGTACGAGACCTTCGCCATGTGTTCACGCCCTTCCTCTGTCTTCGGTGACTGATCTTTGGAAAGTTCGGTGACTGTTCTTTGGAAAGTCTGAAATGAACACCTAATGGTGTACTCACTGGTTTAGCATCTTTCATGTTGAACATGGAGAGTATTTTGTTGATGTACTCAACCTGTGATAACATCAAAGTCCTAGACTTTGTGTCTCTCTTGATCCTCATTCCAAGAATCTGCTTTGCAGCGCTAAGATCTTTCATTGTGAACTGCTTTGATAATTTTTGCTTTAAATTTGTAATCTCTTGCAGATCTGAACCTGCAACGCGCATGTCATCAACGTATAACAATAAAATAATAAAGCTATTGTCAAACCTCTTGATATAGCAACAATGATCTGCTTGGCATCTAGTGAAACCGTTGCTGCCCATAAACTGTCAAACTCCTTGTACCACTGCCTGGGAGCTTGTTTTAATCCATACAAGCTCTTTTTCAACCGACATACTAGATTTTCCTTGCCAGCCTTTATGAAGGCTTCTGGTTGCTTCATATAAATCTCCTCCTCCAAATCACCATGAAGGAAAGCTGTTTTTACATCTAACTGCTCAAGATGTAAATTCTCAGCAACTACAATTTTCAACACTAGTCTGATTGTAGTCAGTTTTACGACCGGGGAGAAAATTTCATTGTAGTCAATACATTCCTTTTGTTGAAAGCCTTTGATAACCAATCTTGCTTTGTAGCGCTTGTTCCCATCATGCTCTTCTTTGATCCTGTAAATCCACTTGTTATGAAGAGCTTTCTTACCTGATGGTAATTCAGATAAGTCCCACGTCTGATTTGACATGAGCGAGTCCATCTCATCTTGCATAGCAGACTACCACTTGTTTGAATCCTCCACCTGCATTGCTTCATCATAACACTCTGGTTCACCACTGTCAGTCAGCAACATGTAGTGCAAAGAAGGCTAGTAACGCTGGGTTGGCTTAGGAATTCTGGAGGAGCGTCTCACTTCTGGCGTGCTTGGTTCTTCTTGAACTGCTTCAGGACTAGTCTAAACATCATTTTCAGAAATCTCCTCAAATTCAGCAAATTCCTTTATTTCAGCTTTTGTACTGGAGCTACATGATTCTACAGTTGATCTGTCTTTGTACATCACATTCTCATTGAATATGACATCTCTGCTTATGATGATCTTCTGATTTTTATAGTTCCAAAATCGGTAACCAAACTCATCACCACCATAACCAACAAAAACACATTTGTTAGATTTGGCATCAAATTTACTTCTTTCAGCAGAATCTATGTGCACATAAGAGATACAACCAAAAATTCTTAAATGTGAAAGGTTTATCTCTTTTCTGCTCCAAGCTTCTTCCAGTATTCCACCATCCAAGGGAACCGAGGGTCCGTGGTTGATTAGGTAGGCTGCGGTATTGATAGCTTCAGCCCATAGGAACTTGGGCAAGTCGGCATGTAACCTCATGCTTCTGGCACGTTCATTCAAAGTTCTGTTCATGCGCTCCGCTACGCCATTCTGCTGCGGTGTCATGGGAACTGTTTTCTCCATCTTGATTCCATTGTTTGCACAACATTCTTTGAATCTACTGTCTTTGTACTCTCCTTCGTTGTCTGACCTCAACCGCTTTATCTTCAGACCAGTTTCATTTTCCACCATGACCTTCCATTTTTTGAAGGTATCAAAGACTTCTGATTTTTTTCTTCAAAAAATAGACTCATACCTTCCTTGTAGAATCATCAATGAATGTGACATAGTACAGTGAGCCTGCAAGAGATAAAACTGGAGATGGCCCCCATACGTCGGTATGAACCAATTCTAACCTTCCTGTCTTGGGTGTCTTGCCAATCTTTGCAAAACTAACTTTCTTCTGTTTGCCAAATATGCAATCCTCGCATAGGTTGACATCTACATTCTTCAGATCCGACAGCTTCCCTTTTGACAGAAGTGTCTTCATCCCTTTCTCGCTCATATGGCCAAGCCCTTGGTGCCATATGTTTGATTTTTCATCTGCATCTGTTACTGCAATAATATTCTCTAGGTTAGAGGTTACATAGAGAGTACCACTTTTCTTATCTCGAGCAATGATGAGTGCTCCTTTGGTAATCTTCCATTCATGATCCGAGAAGGTTGTACAATAACCCTCTCCATCAAGTTGTCCCACAGAGATCAAATTCTTTCTAAGACCAGGAATATGTCTTATTCCTTACAGCTTCCATATGGTCTGATTTGACAATTTTAATCGGATGCCTCCCTTACCAACAATCTTCAAGGTTTCATCATCTGCTAGATATACCTTTCCGAAATCACCACTGATGTAGCTCTCCATGATTTCTCGGCATGGGGTGGAGTGGAAGGATACCCCTAAATCAAAAATCCATGATTCAATCGGACTGTTGATGCTTAGAATCATAACATCACCTCCTTCC